TTTTCAGTGGAATCTGTCAAAATCCTCCCAGAATATCTTAAGCAGAAATACGTGGGGTCAGACTGTCGTTGACCGGGAACTGTAGCGTGCAGACGACTGAGAAGAAAGATCTGAAGTATACAGTCAGTTCGGGATGGAAGTGGACCATGTACAATTCGGTCTCTTAAAATGCTGAGGGTTTTGTGATTGCATTTATAGAGCCTGTGAAGCAGGCCTTGAGTTATCAAGGGGATGCTGACGTCACAATGAAAAGCATAGTAAATTAGGCCGTGATCAGTGTACCTTTTCTTGCGTTTTCGAACACCGTGGCCGCACTTTTTCCGTGGCAATGAAGTCTGAAGATAGGGGTTTTTACCAGACTGGACGGTAAGAGCCCGTCCGAAATACTCCCATAATTTAAAATGCTATCGTTCAGCTCAAATGGATAGGCAGTGTTGATTGTTCTAATCCAAAATAATTCACTTTGGTGGAGGGTGGCCTTGGAAGTGTCGACTTTCTCAGTGATTTCAGTACCCATAGCCTCAGGTCCATGGCCAGGCAGTTGGAAAAGGTTATATAGTGTTGTATTTGTTTTCTTAATCACGTTGCCCTGTGTTATCTAGCACTCTCCCGTAGGGTTTTTTGGGTTTGGCCGATATACTGCATCCCACAAAATTTACGTATTATCATATAAACTACAGTTCTGGTTTTACACGAGAAGCGCTCATCAACGTTACGGTGGTTTAGGAAGTGATGTCTGCTGCACGGTGCAGATATCAGTCCAGAGGAGTTTATCATGTGGCAGCAAATGCAGTTAGCACAACGCATTGTTCCGTGACCAAGCGCTTGTGTTCTTCCGGCATCATCTGAGTCTTCTAAAATCCCCATATTGATCTAGAGCGAATAAGTTTTTAATTCGTTCCCCGCCCACTGGTATAGTCGTTGAAGTTCTGGATGGGATAAGAGCTGCAACGACTATCGTTGCTTGTTTTGCTTGATCTTATAAAAAGGTTAGCGCCCGATCAAAGGCGAAAACCCGTTAGGAACCGCCCATTTGGGCAGGGCTGCTGTCTATTGGGCTACGACTAATGCCTAAAATACTCCTACAAGCCAGGCAGCGCCGAGGTTCCTTGTCCGGCCATCTTTTAAGCGGTAATCAATACAGGAGCTTCCGTGAGCTTTTAGAGGCCAACAGTAGGGAGAGTCTCTCAGATATTTAAATCTTAATGTATAGAAGGCATTAGCTAGTGAGCGTCTTAGCGCAACAAAGAAAACTCATGCAGTAAACATGATAGTTTGGCAGGGCTCATCTTCTATAAGGTAGTAGAACTGTTAATTTACCTATGGAGGTCTTGGTAAGATAAGTATTAAACATTTAGGACTGCGACCTTAAAATCGTCAAAAATCCTAAAAATGAATGCAAGAGAACGGACCTCTAAAACATTATGACTTGCTATTAGAGCAATCTGATAGTGGTAAGTACT